GCTTACGCGCAGCATGCCAAAGCTGTCGATAGGCTCCTGAGCTAACTCTGCGCTAACTCATGTTACAGGCTTCGTGCAGAACTGGCGTCGTTTTGTAGGAAAAAAACTTTTGTTCGTCAATATATTTGCAAGCATTCAACCAGAAACATTTATTTTCGATGAAAACGAAGAATTTATGATGAAGAGATAGCGCTTGTGGTGCTGAACGAACATACCTGCAGCCATCTCACGCCCGCCGGGTGTACGTGCAGCTCTGCACGACGACCGACGACGAGCGAATGACCCGGTGGAATCACCATGAGTTGAAATAAACTTTTCTGGTTTTTTAATGTAATATTTTCAGTTTAAATAATTACTTTTTCAGAAATAAATATAAATATCGCAGAATGGACAAAGGGACGCCATGACGGCTTCCACCCGTTTCCCTCACCAACATGCAAACTGAGAGAAACGAAACCTGCCGAATAAAACGCATGCAAAGACCCATATGAATCATAAATTTCAACATTTATTTATTTTAATACTTTTTTTTTAAGTTTATTTTCTTTTTTCATGGACAATACCCGCACAACGTGAGCTGCACGGCCAGTGAACGTGCAGCTTTTCGTCGGCGCTTTCCCTCTTGAATGCTGCGAAACCTCCAAAAAAGAGAAAGTTTCAGCGGGAAAGCTGCAACTTTCTGCTGCGAATAATATTCTTATGGCTGAGATCAAGTGTTTCAGAGAGAGCCGCCGCGGGGATTCACAAAAAAAAAAAAAAAAAAAAAAANAAAAAAAAAAAAAAAAAAAAAAAGGATTGAGCTGAGGCGGCAGAGGAAACGCAATGGACGGCGAAACCCCGAGCGTACCGCAGAGAGCTGAGCTGTGCATACACTGCACGTAGGTCAACAACATGCTGCGCCTCAACCAAACAAATGTTGCCGGGGGCCCCACCCTCTCTGCCGTATTCACAATGACGGCGATTCGTAGGTCTGCAGCAACAGCAGCAGCAACAGCAGCAGCAGCAACAACAGCAACAGCGGCAGCAACAGCAGCAGCAACAACAGCAGCAACAGTAGATAAGGCTGTAGCTCAAAAGTGCCGTATTCCCCCCGTTTGTATCGAGCGGCTCTCTGGCCGCAGCAGCAGAAGCAGCAGCAGAAGCAGCAGCAGAAGCAACAGCTTGAAGAGCAGCAGCAACAGCAGCACGGATGGCCCCACTCAGTACACCCCCCTACACAATGAAAAGGGGGTTCTCTCCCACCGGCACCGCCACGTTGGCCTGTACAGCAGCAGCAGCAGCAGCAGCAGCGGCGTCGAGAGCAGCAGCAGCATCAGCAGCAGCAGCAGGAGTTGCATGCTTGGTAGCAGTGAGCATCAGGGGGATTATAAGCATCAAGACAAGCAGCAGCAGCAGTTTTCTGTATTGAAGCAGCAAGGGGGCCAGCTGCCCCCGCTGCTGCTGCCGTCGCTGCGGCGCCTCTGCAGGCAGCTGCGGTTTCTGGCTGTACACCCTCACCTGCTTGCTGCTCTGAGCCCGCCAGCAGCAAAGTCTTTATTAGAAAGAAATGAAGCAAACTGCAGCAGCAACACAGCAGCAGCAGCAGCAGCAGCAGCAGCACAGCAACAAGAAGAAGCAAGGAGACACACAGTGCAGCAGCAAGCGGCGCTGCTGCTGCAGCAGCTGTGGGGCGGAGCCACATACTTCTCCCCCCGCATCATCAGAGCATCCTTACAAGCAGAAGCAGCAGCAGCAGCTGCTGCTGCAGCTGCTGCAGCTGCTGCTGCAGCTGCTGCAGCAGCTCCTGCTGCAGCACCTCCTGCTGCTGCATCCTCAGTAGCAGCAG